ATGTCACTGACAAAGATGTTAAATAGCACTGAATGGTTAGGTAACATTTGTTGATGATACCAAGTTTTTCAGGACAAGAAAAATTAATCTATTGCAGAAAGCTAAGGAAAAATTTTACTATGCTGAATGATAAAATAGATGAAATGGTAATAAATACAAAGTAGTACCTGTGGGATAATTTCCCCTGTACAGTGATGGGCTCTAAATTCTACTATTATGATTCAATAAAAAGATACTGTAGTTACTGTGGGTAACCCAGCTCATTTTGTGAAGAGTCAGAAAGGCAAGTGGCAAATTAAAATTTAATAGGAAAGAAATAAAGAAGAAAACAGGCAGTACTGTCCCTCTCATCATATCTTTAAAACTTTATGTGAGTTTGGTCATTCCAACATAAAAGGTTTAAATGGAAAGAAATGGTACAGAAGATGTCAAGGTCAATGAGACGAAATGGCTTCTGTTCAGGAGAGTAACTAGATCAGGATTTAGCTAGATTAAGATTTTGGGGGCTGGAAAGAAGATGATTTGGGCAGGATCTAGTGGTAGCCTGTGAAATCATGGATGGCATGAGATGCTAATAGGGAACATACCTTCATGCTTCCTTGTATTGAAAGAACTACAGGAAGCAAATGAAATTACCAAGTGAGAAGCTTAAAACTATCACACAAAAGTATTTTTTGGCAATGCATCATTAAATTTGTGAAACTCACTACAACAGAACGTTGTGGATGCTAAATGGATTCAGAAGAGAATAAAACACATCACTGGAAGGAAAAAACTGTCAGGTCACTAAGTATGAAGAAGCCATCCCTGGCTCAGGTTTCCTAGAAGCAAAGAGAATATTTTAAGGATATGTTGTTTGCCATATACCTAGGAGAAGAACAGTCCTGGAAATATTTCCGTAACTTTATAGTTAATATCTTAAGAACATATTAATTCTGAAAAAGTATTTTTCACTTATTTTTAAAAGTCATAACCCCCCAGACAGCCCTCCTTCACATTTTTGAGAGTTTCACTGGGTTCTGATTTGAAATTTGCTAAATTAGTTAGAAGATTTATGTTAATGTTTTTCAGATTGTTCCCAGTTTCCAGAAAGAACGTGATTTTTGCCTAAAAAGCAAAAAAGACATCTTATTTAAAAAAGCAGGTAAAATAAGGCACTTCACCAGTTTGAGAGACGTGATGAGCTTGTCCAGAAAACTGCAATTTCATCAGTGTATCAAACTCACCCTGATAGATTTAGATGCTTTCTTGTTGCTTAACAAAGAATATATTGAAGTCAAGCACCTATTCTCTTTTCTGTTTTCTTCCTGGTAGTTATGGCGTGCTGCTTTGGGAACTGCTAACAGGAGAAGTACCATTCCGAGGAATCGATGGTCTTGCAGTAGCATACGGCGTTGCCATGAATAAACTTGCCCTTCCAATCCCTTCCACATGTCCAGAGCCTTTTGCCAAACTCATGGAAGGTAAGCCAGCTGTGGTGTCAGTATGGTTTGTGCTGTTCCTAGAGTACTGTTGAGCATTGCCTCCTTGTGTTAGTTTTGATACCTAAGAGCATGGATTTCTCAAATGGCTTTATTCAATGGTGCAAGTTCTTACAGGAGCTCAGCTTGGCTATTAGTGTGCTGTGATGGTTACTCTTATTACAAGAGCAGTACGTGGAAGAAATTTCCCTGTCATTTTTACCAACTGACTTTATAGGAAAATGGGGGCTGTTGCTGTCATCATCTAGCTTGTCATTTTTAGTAGTGAAGACTGACCAACATCAAAACTTCACATATTTTGATGTAGTTTGAAGTCTTCAGCTTATTTGGAAATTCATAGATTGAACATCTTACTAGGCAGTGTCGGATTTACTTGGAATGAAACTTTATCCTAGTGACATTTCAGGGAGAGGGTTTGAATATGGCTTTGACATTTGAAAACCACTGAAATTTTCAGTCAGAATGATATGATTTTCTGCTTTGTGTGTGGAGATAGTTCATGCGCAAGGTGGGCTATATATGGATGAAGGAAATATAGGAGTTTGTTGTCAGAGCTGCTGTAGTTATGAAAAAGGATTCTGTCAGGTAGCTTTTGAGGTGTACCAATGTGACCTGCGCTGCTGGCTATTGCAACTATTTAGATATTTCCTGAGCTTCAGCTGTTCCTTTCTCCCACCCTCCTTCCCTCCTCTCACACTAGTACCTTTAGTGTTTTTTTTTCAGTGCCTCTATTGCCAAGGATTTCCATGGTGCATATATGTAATAAACATTTTTATACTTATCTGGCAGAAAGAAAAACTGAGGTAAAGAGAAATCAAACATGTTTTATAGTCTTAGTAAGCAGAGAATGAGTCTGAACATAGAACTGATATTCTGTGGCCTCTGGTGGTGTTTTTAGCCCCAAGAAAGGGATTTGATTCATGCAAGAAAATGTCTCTGATGGGTTTCTCTGCTTTTAGAATACTTCTACGTTTCTCGGTCTTTTTTGTAGCTTACAGGCTTCAGTGAAGTTAAAGTAGAAAATTTCGTGTACTGTTGTGCTAAAAAAGAAACATCCTACTGTATAGTAAACAGCAGCAGGTCTGCAAGTATAGTTGCTTAGAAGCAATGTAAAGCAAGAAACTGCATCTAAAAGCAAGAAACTGCTCCCTACAAGAAGGACCCTGGCTTTCTTAAATACAGGTGAGGTATCTGCTGCTGGGGTTAAAAATAATGCCCTCTCTTGGGAAAGTCAGGTAGAGGCATATGGCCTGCGCTTGAACCCAGCAGCACAGGGGTGAGCACCCACGCGGCTTTGGAACGCTTGGCTTCTCCATGTGCAGGGGAAGAAGAGAACAAGAAAACAATTACTTTCTGCCCCTTCACCAAAACTGTTTTTCAGACAGGCTGTTTCCTGTCTCGAGTGAACTCTTGTTCCCCTAATGCTGCTTTTACTTTTGAATTACTGCCCTGGTGGTCTTCACTGAGACAACAAAGCTGAACTTTCCCTCTTCACAGAAAAGGCTTGTATGTTACCACTGTCCTCATTAGTGCGAATAATGGCAGATCTAGGCCTGGGAAAATAAAAGCCACGGGCCACCTGCATAGTTATCCTGTTCACTCATTCATGCATTTGGCTGGCTGCAGCATTTTGTTTTACTTTGGGTCATGTTTGCTTTGCCATGCTTAAACCTGGGGTAAAGGGGCAGGGATTACGGCGCTGACAGTCCAGCTGTATCACCCATTGCTATTAATTGGTCAGCAGCAGGGGACCTTCAGAGCACTCTTTAACATCCTCAGTTCTCTATTTTGATAAGAGAAGCAATTTGAAATCCATAAACACAAATGTGTTCCGGCTTATGCTTCTTGGAACCTGATCAGATACTTAAATACCAACATCTTAATACCAGCAGTTTTGAAACCAGAGCTTGTAAACACAAAATCTCGGTAACGCTAAAATCAAAGAAAAGACCTGCAAAACCAAGCCTCAGCAGTTACATAGATTTTGAGAGGTGTTACTTATTTTTAATTACAGCTGCTCCTTGGTGTACTTCAGTCCACAAAACTGATGAATGAATGTCTTTTAGGATATCACAAATTTTTTTTTAAGAATGCTTCTTTTTTTCCAACTGTAAGGTCTAGGAAGCTTTAGAATGTTTTTATAATTCTTGCCTCGTGCTACGGTAATGTGTGTCTTAAATCCAGTGACCATTTAGAGCAGGGATAGTATGAGCATGTTGAGACCCAAGTGTTACTGTCTTCTATTCATGCACAAAAGCTGTATTCCCTAGAAATATACTTGAATGCTAAGTTTTCTGTTTGATTCTTCTCAAATATTGGCGTGCAGGAGTTTAGCAGTACTAAAGAGAATAAGGATACTTGTCGAACAAAAAACAACTTGTGTAAGTGCCAGTATGGGACAATGTAGAAAGAGAAAGTGATGTTTTCTGCAGCAGTAGAAATAAGGGTGAAGTAAGAGGGAGGACGGAATGAGTAAGAATTTCCTGTTCAAAAGTGTTATTAAGTCAAAATGTTTGACTTAACAGGCTTTTAAAAACCACGTTCATAATGATTTCATAGCTTGAGATGATACTTCGTAGGATTTTTTAATTTCCATTTCCAATGTTCAATTTCCACCGCTGTAAAAGGACTACCTTTTTGTACTATTGCTAGTTGAGTTGCCTCGTGCTAAGTTGGGTACCTTAAATTCTGTGGTTTTAGAGCTCTGTAATTGGGTAAGTCATCGCATTAGATTGTAAATCAAAAAGCTTTTTTTATCTGTGGTTTCTTTTAAAGGCAAAAGAAAAAAGCCTAATCAAACAAATTCCTCTCAAATAATATAAAAGAACCCTTAAAAATCAGAAAACTCTAAATGCACTGTTTAGTGTCATTATTTACTTAAATATCCTATTTTAACTCAAGTTATGCCTAGTCTGCTTTGCAGGAGAGATTTTCAGTTCTGTGGAAGAGATTCATAATGACTCAGCTTAGCTCTAGAGTTTGGCATTAGGAAGAACTCTGATAGATATCCTTCTGCAGTATGGATGTTGTCTGTGACAAAAGTGTGTGATAAAGAACTGTTTGCAAGAGTCTTGCATAGTATCTCCACTCTGTGAGCACATATAACTTGAAGCAAAATATTTGAGGAAATTATTTATGACTTTTAATATATGCTTGAAAATGTAACTTTTTCTAAAATGAGAAACATCTATTTTACTTGGCATATTATTGAAATAGAACATAGAGACCAGGTAGTTCAAGATCTTAAGTGATGTTGGTATTGTATAAGCATGAAAGTGTGAATTCTGTACTTGACTTCTGATCGGACAATTGTCAATGCAAGTGGAAAATGGGAAAGATGGAGTAACACGGATAGTGTGCATGCCACTCTTAGCCACTGGGGATCAGTAAAGTATTACTCATCCTCTCAGTCCTCCATACTTACAGATGCTTAACAGTTGCTTGTCTTTGTCCTATTCTAGATTGTTGGAACCCTGATCCACACTCACGACCTTCCTTTGCCAGTATCCTAGACCATCTCACTGCCATAGAAGAGTCTGGTTTCTTTGAAATGCCCAAAGATTCCTTCCACTCCCTGCAGGAAGACTGGAAACAAGAGATCCAAGAGATGTTTGATCAGCTCAGAGCCAAAGAAAAGGTAAGTAGAGAAAAACACTCCGTGCTTGTGCTCTCTGGATTGTAATTTCCCATTTCATAATTCAACCCAGGATCATTGTTTAGTGCATCACAGAGTTAATTTTCTATGTACTTTACTGGAGCTTGTAATAAGTCCACCGAATCGATGTCGGGTTATGATGCACACAAGGGCAGAGTCATGAGTAAAATAAATATCTGCATCCTGAGCTGCTGCTCGGTCTAATACTGAGTGAGCTTCTATTATGCACTGTGAAAACTGCTGTGACGAGTTGTCTTCATTGTTTAATGCATCACATAACTATTTCATTGTTAGCATCATAATTGAGAATCCCAGTGATAATCGTTGACAGTAAAAGTAAAATGGGTAGTTTCAGCATACATACTCTAGCAAACATTGCAGCTTTGGTTCTGTCAGGTTTGTATTTTCCACGTTTCCAGCACAGCCAAAGTGGATAGACTATAATAAACATGAGTGCTGGCCAGGAGAATAGCTGATATAATTGAAGTAAATCCGGGTAAATAGCAGGAAATGAAAACACTAGCAGGAATAAGAAGAACTGTGACCATCAGCCTCAAAGAGTAGAAGTTGAGTGTAAAAGCTGAAGTTTTCTTCAAGCATGCTTGCAGAAAGCACAGCTTGCTGCATCTATGTTAAGGTCTTTACAGAGACTGTCTTACCATTGGTATAGAATGCAGCAGTAGAATTGGTAAAGTAATAATATTTTTTTAAGTTTATGGCTTTTTGCCTGAAAACAAATTCTTAATAAACAGCCAATTTGATTTCAGCTCAGAAGTTGGGTTTAGGAGGCAGGGAGAAAGAAAAAGAGACTTTGGAGCTCAGCAGGTAAGTCCCACAGCAATACTTCAAATGTTTGTATTCATGTATTATAGAAGCTTTGGGGAAAAATAAAATAACTAGTAGGCATTTCCTTGCTGCACTGTGTTGTCCCTTGGCATAACTGTCTTGGAAGAGTTTTTGAAAACCAGAAACTTGAAAGACGAATAGAAGACCAAACATTAGTAGCTAGACTGCCCTCAGGTTTTGAGCACTGCATTCCTCTAGCAATGGGGAAAGAGAATTTTATCTCCTATTTACCTCATAAGTAAAATCTACCAAACCTCCACAGTGATGGGAGAGGGACAGGTAACAATGATGTTATTAAAAAAAAAGATTAAGAAATCTAAACTAAAATCTATCTGATAAGATGAAGTTTAACTTGAATTCTTCAGTTTTTACCTTCTGCAGTGGAATTAGTTAGCTGGAGATTATTATTCTGAATGCTGAATTCTTTTGTCCTTGTGGTGAGAGGAGTGCTGTGAGAAGAGATTTTGAGATCTCAGGGGCAATTTCAGTTGATTCATTTTGTCAACAAAGATTAAAAAGTTTGTCTTATGCTTATTTATGCCTAAGGAGCAGCCATGCTTGGTGGAAACTGATGGGAATGACCTCCTGATGATGTTTTCTTCATTGATTTTTACGTCAGAACTGTGCTTTGTGCTATTTTATGATTCATGAGATGGCAAGGTTATTTTTAAACACTTTAAGTCAATTCTGGAGTTAACGTAGGTACTTACTGAATAGGAAAGCAAGGATTAATTCTTTTCAGTGTTATGAATAAGTCTTGCAAAATGAGTTCCCGTATGCATGGTGCTCTCCAGTGGCTCCTGTAAACATGTTCATGTCAGATACCCAGCATCTCTTCTCATGGCATTGAATTTAGGATTCAGTGTCTTTTAACAGAATCACAGAATGGCTGAGACTGGAAGGGACCTCTGGAGATCATATGGTCCAGCCCTCCTGCTCAAGCAGGACCACCTAGAGTCAGTTGCCCAGGACCTTGTCCAGATGGCTTTTGCATATTTCCAACAAGGGAGACTCCACAAACTCTCTGGGCAACATGTGCCAGTACTCAGTCATGCTCACGGTACAAAAGCATTAAGAGGGAATCTCCTGTGTTTCATTGTGTGCCCATTGCCTCTTATCCTGTCACTGGGCACCACTGAAAAGAACCTGGCTCTATCTTCTTTGCACCCTCCCTTCAGATTTTCATACGCATTGATGAAGATCCCCCTTCCCCCCATCCAAGCCTTTTCTTTGCTAGGATAAACAGTCTCATCCCTCTCAGCCCTTGGTCATAGAAGAGGTTCTCCAGTCCCTTAATCATCTCCGTGGCCCTTTGTTGGACTTTCTCCAATATGTCCGTGCCTCTCTTGTACTGGGGAGCCCAGACTTGGACACAGGATTCCAGATGTGGCCTCATAAGTGTCAGCATCCAAATTTTAATACTGATATGAAGGGCCTTGAATGGCACGCACAGAAGTTCTTCACAGTTGTTTAAGTTTTTGACTTTTGGCTGAGCGTTTAAACAGTGGCACTAGCAGTGCTATGAGCACAAGTCATTGCTGCTGTACCTTCAGAGTAGGTGATGTTAATCTTAACCCACAGGTCGCAAGGTAGCTTTTTTTTTCTACTTTCTGACCTCCCTGCAGGAGCTACGCACATGGGAAGAAGAGCTGACTCGTGCTGCTGTTGAACAGAAGAACCATGAGGAGTTGCTACGAAGGCGGGAACAGGAATTGGCAGAACGCGAGATTGACATCCTGGAAAGGGAGCTCAACATCATCATCCACCAGCTGTGTCAGGAGAAGCCTCGGGTGAAGAAACGCATGGGGAAGTTCAAGAGGAGCCGGCTCAAGTTAAAAGATGGCAATCATATCAGCTTGCCTTCAGGTTGGTGACATTTTAGGTTGTCAGGTGAAATGGGAGGAACAGGTGAACCTGTAGCTTTGGTAGCTCCTTTCTACTGATGCTTATGCATTAGAAAGTATTGGATGTACTTTGGGAAAAACATGCCTCTGGGATCAAGAAACAAAATTTGATGCTCTTGTGGCTAGCATTCCCCAAAGTTCCACGTATGAAGGCCAGAAGTAAACTTGAGGTGTTAACATGTTTATTAGTCAATGGCTGCATATGGTTCACGGTAAAAATGTTGGTGTTGCAGTTTAACATGTTAATACTCGAAATGATCAGTTTAATAAAGGATGTACATAAAAAATGATGGAGGTTCTTGCTCTGAGAATATTTTACATAAGGCTGCAGCAGAAACATATTCTACTGGATTCCTCGGTGCAGGAATCTAAAATTTGTCAAAAATACTTCGATAGCTGTGAGACTACAGCACTACATTGTTAGTTCCTACGTGAACTCGTATTAACACACAAGTGACCTCTAATAGCAGCACCCTTCTGGACAAAATGTTACACATTGGCAAGGTGTCAGGGAAGTCATTCTTAAGAGTGAAGATAGTGATTTTCAGAATTATTGAATCCTTAGTGTTTCTGCTGCAGTTTCTGTATAGAGATTCAAATTTGTAAAAGAACAAAAGCATGGGTTTTGTAATTCACCTAAGACTCATCCCTACCTCAAGGATGATGGCTTACACTATATTCTTTGTTTTCTGAGAGAAACTGGCTGTTCAGAAGAGCAAAGATGATAAAATGTGCCTGTTAACTGTGCCTTTCTTCAGGTCTGTAAACACCTATATCTGGTGGTTTTGCTAGGCTTAAGAAACTGAGAGATAAGGAGAAAGGAATTTATACAGGGATGTATTTTGGCATAAATGTCAGTCAACACATGGGAATCTATGTATGTATGTGCATGTATCTCACACATACACCAAGAAAATATGTCTTCATGAGTGTGAGCACACATCTTTGTTCTGAAGTAACTGCATATATGATGGGGAGATAGCAATTAGCTGTAAAACGTCATTTCTACATAAATCCTGTAAATTGCGCTATTTGAAACTTACTATAAATTATTATTTCTTGTTTCTTATATTAAAAAAAAAATTTAACTGTGTCTTTCTGCTTTGGTTTTGATTTTTTTTTTCTTTCTCTTTCGGTAAACAGATTTCCAGCATAAATTCACTGTGCAGGCTTCTCCTACAATGGATAAAAGGAAAAGCTTGATCAGTAGCTGCTCCAGCCCTCCCGCAAGTCCTACCATTATTCCCAGACTCAGGGCCATACAGTGTAAGGAGCTCAATGTAGTATTGAATTTGGGAAATGTGCAGTCTGTCAGCGTGGTAAGATGCCAAGATTCCGTATCTAGGATAGGACTGTAAAAAAGAAAAAAAGAGACTTCCTAAAACATTTGACTTGTGCCCCGCATGGATGCATGTAGAGAGAAAATAAAAAAATCACTCAAGTGTGTTGGTGTTGGGGAAAAGAATCACCTTCTTTAAAGTCCAAACCTTACTTACCGAAGTTGTTGAAATGTTGCTGTTTGATTGTATAGAAAATACATTCCTTAGGTGTACAGGTTAATTTTTGAAAACACCAATTTTCAGATTAGATCTATGAAACATTATTGAAGTGGTTTAAGTTACTGATGGAACGAAAGAAAAACAAGAGTGCTTGTTTGAAAATAGTGTTCCCATAATAGAATTAGGCAGATGAGCATATATTAGAAGTATGAAAGGGATATTATGTAATGTGTAGTGTTTGTATTGGATATCGTGACACTTGTGTCTGATATCAACCTGGTGGTTCTAGAAGAGAAACCAGTGATGAAATAAAGCTGTAAAGCCTATCTATACTAATTTTGAAGGGATTTGGTTGTTAGATCTGCGCTGACAAATGGTCAGAATTATGGGAAAGAAGCCTGAACGGATGTTTTCATTACTATTCCTGTTCTGGCCTATGTTTTTTTCTCTGTGTTACTGTGGAACCAATTCTTTAATTTGAATATCTGATTTTCTTTCCTGTTTTCCACTGTTCTTCCTACTTGTGAAGTGACTCCTGCCGAAAGCAGTAAAACATGGGGACGAAGCTCAGTCCTTCCAAAGGAGGAAGGAGAGGAAGAAGAGAAGAGAGGCCAAAAGAAAAAGGGACGCACGTGGGGACCGAGCTCACTTTGTCACAAGGAGCTAGGCACAGGAGAAGAAGGGTAAGAGAGGGCCTGGAACCAGACTGGTTTCCGGGTTCTAAAACTGATAATCATAGAATCATAGAATGGCACAGGCTGGAAGGGACCTCAGAGATCATCTAATCCAACCTCCCTGTCATGGGCAGGGACGCCTCTCAACTAGACCAGGCTACTCAAGGCTCTGTCCAACCTGGCCTTGAACACCTCCAGAGAGGGGGCATCCACAACTTCTCTGGGCAATTTATTCCAAAGTCTTACCACCCTCGTACTTAGGAAGAAGAATTTCTTCCTAAGATCTAATCTAAATCTGTTCTCCTTCAACTTAAACCCATTTTCCTTTGTCCTATCAGTGGACACTCTTGTAAAAAGTCCCTCCCCAGCCTTCCTGTAGGTTCCCTTCAGGTGTTGGAAGGCAGCTATTAGGTCCCCCCGAAGTCTTCTCTTTTCAAGGCTGAACAATCCCAGCTCCTGCAACCTGTCCTCGTAGCACAGGTGCTCCAGCCCCTGGATCATCTTTGTGGCCCTCCTCTGAACACACTCCAACAAATCTGTCTCTGTTATGGTGGGAACACCAGAACTGGACACAGTATTCGAGGTGGGGTCTCACAAGATCAGAGTAGAGGGGGAGAATCACCTCTCTTGACCTACTGACCATGCTTCTCTTGATACATCCCAGGATGTGGTTGGCCTTCTGGGCTGCATGAGCGCACTGCCGGCTCATGTTGAACTTCTCATCTATAAACACCCCCAAATCCTTCTCTTCAGGATAATGAACTGGCTCACAGGATATTTGCCTGTCCTTTTGCAAGGACTTTTCTGCTTACAAACCTATTTCCTCTACCAGAGATGTTAGAGATTCGGAACAGATTACAAAACTGCATTGCATGAAATTCCTTACTAGGGGTCCAGCACTGACCTCATGCTTTCACTGTCTGCCATTACGTTGTTATACATATTTGTAAGCAGTAGAACTTCTTAGCTGTGCAAAACTCTTTCTCTGGTAGCTTTTTTTTATTTTCAGTCTCAACTTTCTGTATTTTCATATCTTATCTGAAAATACTTCTTTTACAATTCTCAGCTATGCTTTTCCTTGTCTTAAATGCTGTTATTTAGAAAGTATATGGTAGAGCCAGGAAGTGTTTTCTCTTCAGGCTTTTGAAAAGGACACATACGTTTAGTGAATACGTCTTGAAAGTGATTTTTTGCAGAGATACGTTTTGTACCTGGCCCTTTTCTGTAGATTCTTGTTCTGTGACTTCTTTTTGTGTGTATGTGAATTATTTATACCGAGATTCCAATGGATCATTGCCAAAATGCTGCTTTAAACATAGAAGTATTTTGATCTTCGAAGAGCTTTGAATGCCTTGTGATTTTTAGTGGAGTCCAAAACTTTTTTCCCCTGCTAAATTGATAGTTTGATTCTTGCCATATTTTTTTAGCAGGGAAAACAAAATAACTGGTTAGAATTTATCTTTAATATTATGTGCTCAGGCGTGAAATTACTGGAAAATAGATGTTTGCGTATGCATTGTTATTGCAGTCCTCTGCAAAAGGGCCTGGATCTAAGTGTTCTAATGACATTAAAACATGTTCTCTCTCAAAGATACTCTTGACATGTTAATAGGGCAATATGGAGGAAGCTTCTTCGACTGCCGCCTATGCTTTACCTATTCTGTAGAGCATTCTCCAGAATTAAAACAGATACCACACTTTACAATCATTAGTTATATAAAAGGGCAGGAGATCACTGAAGCTGGTAGAAAAACACTTCTACCTTGAAATCATATTCTTAGAATTCTGGGTATAAAGCTCTTCAGTTTTTTGTTCATTACTGTGCAGTCTGAAGCCCTGAATTGCTTTTGGGCATGGACAACTGGAAGGGAGTTGCTTGCTAACCATGGTTGCTCTTAAAACTATCCTATTCTCTTTACCGCTGAGATGTTCTATAGTATTCACTACCTTTTCCAGGGAGACTCAATACAGCTATGGCAGGCATCGGATAGTGTGTTGCTGAGAGGGCAGTATGGTTAACGTATAATGAACTAATGCTGCTTGCTGAGATCATGCCAGCCTGCAGACTTATTTAAAAGGAGCAGAGTAGCAGTAGACATTAGTGACTCAAAAGATGGAGTGCTTGCTGGTTTTAGTATTTTTCTAATTCTAATTTTAGAGGGCAGGGGGATAAAAATTGGGGTACAGTGAAGATCTGAACTTGGGATAGAAAAGTCCAGTTCAAGTCTTCTCCATGACACTGTTCTGGTAGCATCAGTGCTGCTGTTCCAGCTGCTTACACAACTGTGATGAAGAGAACTTTGACTCTTCATCTTTTTCATCACTTTCCATGTGTTCTCCACAGGAGGTAATTCCAAATTTATGCAAGAATGACATTGTGGGAATTGCAGTAAAATTCTCTAGCATGAGTAAACTGAGCTATAATTAACATCAAGTAAAGGCAGTCATGAAAAGATTATACAGTGATTATTCACCCTTCTGCATTTATCTTTGAGCATAAGGAATATACACAGCAGCAGGAGGTTACTGTGCTGAATTGCGGAGTCTGGATGAAGATTTATGTTGGACTAGTGTTGTGACACTTTAGTTGTGATCTTATGGTATATTGTCAGGGATATATGGTGACGTCTTAGTTGTCTTTAAACTTGGCATTGACTAGCCCCAGACTGTTACTATGGCATGGATGATCTTTACCCTGTTTAAGTTTTCACACTGGGTAGTGTTACTGATTTTATGGAAGGTGACACTGGATTTGGTGTAGTCACAGTCCTTTAGCTGTTATGTCTGAAGATCTTGCAAGCTAAGTAGGGGCGAGCCTGGAAAAAGACACTTTTTATTCATGGCAGTGTTGTATTAATGCCTCAACATGCTGTTATAGAATATTAAGACACCAGAGATGCTGTCTTAACAGTTGTAGGGACGTCTTTTGCAATTTGCTGAGCAAATAAGCCTTGTAACTTTAGGGGTGACAAAGAGAGGTACTTTTGATTTCCCAATAGAAAAAGGCAACAGAGAAGTAACTCCACCATAATACAACAAACTGAATAATAACCTTCCTGCTATTTAACCCAAATAGATTACAGGTAAGAAGCCTTTAGGTTCCTGAATTGTCAGGCTGATGACTGAAGTAGATAGTTTTGCAGCTGGTGCTTTCAAATAATTCCAGTTGCTCTTTCCTTGGAGCAGTAACAGATAATACTGCTGTAGTAGGAATGTACTCTAAGTCAGCATATTTTGAATTGTTTTCAAATGCACACTACTCTTTAATTAAGAGGATGTGCAGCTATCCTCTGCACAGGTCTTTGGGGTCGTCTTGTAATTTGGGAGAGAGAGAAACGGAGCAAAAAATAAAAGGGAAGGTTGAAAATTTGATAACCTTGATGCAAACATAGCAGGCCTTGATATTATTCTGGTAGCTATTTTATCTTTCTGTTCAGATTGCACTGCGCTTTGTCAGTAACAGCAGTTCTTCAGTCTGTTTTTTGCAAGGGAATGTTGCTATGAGAAGTCATAAGGAAGCAAACTAAGTTGATGTGTCCTGCTGTACAATAAAGGGAAATTCCCAAGACCCTTTAGATAACTGAGACTGTAAAGTGAAGGCTCAACTGAAGGATTACTGCTGCCTATCACTTACAACTTCGCTATATATGCATATAGAGAACAGAGCGTGTGCTTTCCTAGCTCCACGGAAATTTCCCCTTCCTCAGTAGTTGTCTACCCATATTGTAAGAGTTTTGACATTTACTTTTGGAGGTGATCACACTCCTAACATGGTTCGTTTTTGCTCATCAGCTTTCCCTTAATATGCTGCTCTTTTTATAGTATTTATCCTAACTATGCATGTTGTATACATGGATAATTTAGATACAACATACATTATTTAGTGGGTTGTGTTACATAGTTGAGTATAGTATGGAGGGAGTAAATCGGGACAGAAACCTACACACTGAATTACGTCTCTGTTGTAAAACCATGTGGTTGTCTGTCTTGACAAGTAGGATTCAGCACTGTGCTGACTGGATTCAAGTTCATAGCAGAGTACTGCATGTGCTAGAATGGTTATTGGGGGAAAAATGATGGACTTTCAAGTCAGTTAAGACTCTACAGGGTGCTTTTATTGTAATGCCTATAGCGCGTGTGGTCATCAACCGACTGAACATGTGCTGAATCAAGTTTAGAGCCTGTGACCTTGCTCTAGCAATATAGTTTGGTGACAAGTAGGGCATGCCAGTTAGGTGGAGAATAGAGGAAAAATACATACCAAGACAAAAAACAATGATAAAGTAAAACTTTGAGTTTTGAAATCCTGTAATGGAAGCCATCTTAGAAATGCAGATGATTCTGGTGGGAAATGAGAATCATGAGAGAGAATTTGTTACAGTGTTTTCCTTACAGAGAAAGAAGGATATTAGCATACAGAAGTTATGTATCTTATAAAAGAACAATGCAACTTAGTAAAGGACCTGGAGAGGTCTCATCTCTTAAGTTTTCCTGTTCTTTCAATAAGAAGTAGATGCTCCTGTGTGTCCAGTTGAGATCATTCAGACCATCCACAGATGTTTTTGCTCCTTTCATTCAATTTCTGACTATCCTAAGTGGCTGTTAGCTTTTCAGAGAATCATAGAATCATTTGGGTTGGAAAGTAGTGGTTCCTGGAATACAGATGTCACTTAAGCTACATCAGGTGAGAAATTACACAGGAAGATGTGTCCAGTTCTTTTTATTTCTGTGCATTTATTCTTTTAAAAATAAGTGGCTAGGAGAGAGGAAGAAGAGAATGAGAATAAAAGGGCATGTGATAGAGATGGACAACTGAAAATGAGGGAATATTGTATCTTTATGGAATCATAGAATGGTTTGGGTTGGAAGGGACCTCAAAGATCATCTAGTTCCCACTACCCTGATAGAGGCAGGGACACCTTTCCCTAGATCAGGTTGCTCAAAGCCTCATCCAGCCTGGCCTCACTTGCAGGGACAGGACAGCCACAACTTCTCTGGGCAACGTATTCCAGTGTTTCACTGCCCTCAGAGTGAAGAATTTCTTCCTTATATCTAATCGAAATCTACCCTCTTTCAGTTTAAAGGCATTACCCCTTGTCCTATCACTACACACCTGTGTCAAAAGTCTCTCTCCAGCTTTCTTGTAGGCCTCCTTTAAATACTGGAAGGCTACTAGAAGGTCTCCTGAGAGCCTTTTCTTCTCCAGGCTGAACAACCCCAACTGTCTTTGCCTGTCTTCATAGGAGAGGTGTTCCAGCCCTCGGATCATGTTCGTGGCCCTCCTCTGGCCCTTCCACAAAAGTTCCATGTTCTTATGTTGAGAGCCCCAGAGCTGAACACAGTACGGTCTCACGAGAGCAGAGTAGAGGGGCAGAATCACCTCCCTCGACCTGCTGGCCACGCTTCTTTTGATGCAGCCCAGGATACGGTTGGCTTTCTGGGCTGCCAGCGCACATTGCCGGCTCACGTTGAGCTTCTCATCCACCAGCACCCCCAAGTCCTTCTCCTCAGGGCTGCTCTCAATCCATTCTCCGCCCAGCCTGTACTTGTGCTGGGAATTGCCCTGGTATCTGCAGGACCTTGCACTTGGCCTTGCTGAACTTCCTGAGGTTCACACAGGCCCACCTCTCCGGTCTGTCAAGGTCCCTCTGAATGGCATCCCTTCCATCCAGTGTGTCGACCACGCTACACAGCTTGGTGTCATCTGCAAACTTGTTGAGGGTGCACTCGATCCCACTGTCCATGTCACTGACAAAGGTGTTAAACAGCACCGATCCCAATACTGACTCCTGAGGAAGGCTACACTTCATCAACACTACAGTATGTTTCATGTTGGAGTTTGGAGAAGGGCACCACAAATCTCCTAGTTCAGACAATATTGATAACTAAACAATAAAACTTCACTGAGTGTTGATATGTCAGAAAGTTATAGCAATTACTAAAGCTGTTTCTGACATCATGAAAGTACTGCAAGGAGCAAATAGGATGATGGTAATGAATACCTATGAATAGGGACTACGAATAATTATGCTCAGATGTCAAGTGACATACCTTTAAATGCAGGTGACTTCAAAGTAGAGATTTTGTTTGGATTTTCCACTTGTTTGTTTTTGGGGTTTTTGAGTGTTTGTTTTTTTTGTTGTCCTTTTTTTTTTTTAAATCTATAACTAAAAGAAACAATGACATGATTTATTACTTCAGTTACCTATTGTTCTATGATGTAGAATTTATGCTTTTAACTAACTGTACTCCAGTGCAGTGTTTTCTTTAGAGGAGACATATTGGGACTTACCATACAGAGGCATGTTACAGACTTTGCTGTTACAGACTTTTTACCATAGTATTGTCCCAGTGAGTGATCTTTGATTTTCATTGTTCATTTATATTTCACATGGAAATGTTTTTGGAGATGTTTTTCCCCTCCTTCTGCTGAGCACTTTATTATTTACCTTCCATGGTAGGTTTGCCTGGGTTGGAAAAGAAAATGTTTCATCTGATGCCTGCTGTGGTGCTTTCTGTTATTCTACATTCATAGCTGTTGGTTATCAGCAGAGGTCTTTTGACTGCCATGGTGTAACAAATGAAGGAGGGACTTCGACTTTTTTTTTAAATTTGAAGGTGCTGTAAAGATGTTGCAAAATGTCCATAGGAGGACTTGAAATCTATGTAATTAAGATGGGTACATGCATACTCCAAGTAAAGCAATAGACAATATAGAAGGGGGCAATAAAAACTGATTGTGAGCACGGTACATTTTCTCCCATCTTTCTACTATTTCAGTCTGAAAGCTCTGGTAGAAGGATACAAACAGTGGTCATCCAGTGCACCGAACCTTGGGAAGATACAGAGAACTGCACCTGCTTTTCCAGGATTCACCAGCTTAGCAGAGATGGGTAAAGGAATTCCCTGGACTTTATACTCTCATCCCTACTTCCGTTCACATTTGAATGAACCTCTCCTTTCCTGACCTTCACCTCATACCTTACAGCAATATTTTTATTTTGGCGGTATCTACTTTTCTTTTATTCTTTGTGAAATAACTACTTTCTCCTTCTGGATTTTCTTTGTGTTCACCTTTCTGCTTGTGCTTCTTATCTGTCAAGCTAACAAGTTTCTCTTAATTGCCCTCTAGCTCCATGTTACCTCTCAACTCGTTTGCTGCTAATGATATTTACATGTGCAGCATGGTTACACCTTCACTTGCAAGGAGAGATCCTTACAATGTTCCTGCGTTTTGCTCCTCGTTCCCAAACATACAAATTTACTCCAGAAGTAACTGAGGTCTAGATTGCTTCTCAAACGCTGTTCTGCAATTGATCCCAAACAGATTCATGTGTAATTAATTTCTTCCGCTTTGATAGTGTTTCCGTTTACTTGTCTCAGTCTTTCTGCTTTGGAAACAATAGCCTGGGAGTATTTGGCAGTTGGTGAATGATGTTTGTGATGAGAAGGACAGATGCATGTTCTGAGAAGCTTAATTTTCATGTTTATTTGCAAGACAGTGTAAGTTGCCAGTGAAAATGTTACATCCATGCAAAGTCTGTTTTCATTTGCTTTCCAGATGATGAAGACAGCGAATGTCTTAATGGGGAGGGCAAAGTGCACCCTTCACCTGTGCACAATCAGTCATACCTCTGCATCCCATTTCAGAAGAATGAAGACTGGGATGGCCCTTCTAGTGATGCCAATGAGGAGTCCACCCCTGTGAACTCTGCTACTAGTACCCCACAGCTGACACCCACCAACAGCCTCAAACGTAGTGGCTCCCACCACAAGCGATGTGAGGTTGCGTTGCTTGGCTGTGGAGCAGTGCTGGCTGCTGCGGGCCTGGGTTTTGATCTGTTAGAAGCAGGGAAGTGTCAGTTGCTGATTGAGGAGGAGCCAGAGGCACCCAAGGAAGAGAAGAAGAAGCGTGACAGCATTTTCCAGCGAGCAGGACGCCCACGCAGGAGCACTAGTCCACCTTCCCGAAAGATCTTCAAGAAAGACGATCCCATGTTGCTGCTAGGCGAGCCATCCACATCCCTCACCCTTCTTTCCCTGTCTTCCATTTCCGAATGTAATTCCACTCGGTCCTTGCTGCGCTCTGACAGTGATGAGATTGTGGTGTATGAAATGCCTGTCAGCCCAGTGACAGTCAAGGCTCCCTTGCCAGCCATTACCAACCCACTAGTCAATGTCCAGATTGAGAGGTTCAAACAAGACCCCAACCAGTCCCTGACTCCCACACACGTGACGGTCTCTTCCCACACCCAGCAAAGCGGGCACAGGCGCACACCTTCTGATGGGGCCATCAAAGGGAGTGGACTAGTTGTCAATGGGTGCCCAACCAGTGGATGCCCTTCCAGTAGCTGTTTAACTGGAGCACTGGGAGCAGGTAGGTTTTCAGCCATCTTCTTTTTCCTCTTTGGAATAAAGACCCAAACAGTATAAGTATTTGTTAGGAAGTAAACATGCTGCTTATACAGCATCTATTGTGATGGCCGGCCCATAAGAAGAGCTTATGGATGCTATCTTTACACAGATAATGAACAGAATAATGCAGTAATGGTCTCTGTTCCAGCATCTCTGCGCTAAGGAGCTCTCTCTGCTCCCCTGTGCTGTGAGGCAGAGCATAGTATGGTTTCTTAGACAAAGATGGTACCTAAGTATAAATATTGCGCGTTTTTAGCAGTTTGTTGGGATTCCATCTGCATTGCCTTCATACACTTGTTTGTATTGCTGTTAAAATTTCAGAGTAAATTCTGATCTTTAAGGCAGTGAAAACTGGATCTCTAAAGCAGTGTGTCACTGTTTCTCTTATTCCTTTGCAAGCAAGAGGGATCTTCCTGCGTAGGTAATGTTCTCGCTGTTGCAGTCTTTAGGAGTGGCTGTGACTTGATAACTTAAAAAATGCTTTCCTGTTTTCTTGCCCTAATAATTTGGGGGGGGAAAAAAGGACTAGAATAATAAATTAAAATCTGATTAATTAATTAGACTTTTCCCAATGGTAAAATGAAATGTGAGGTTGTCTGTTGAATGGCAGTCTGCAGTAAAATGTGGGTTAATGAAGCTGAGAATACTCATTAAAATGGTATTCATGAAAATTTAAAAGTTATGTTGTGTATGTAAAAAAAAAAAAAAACACAAAGAACAGCGAAACCAAACACTATCCCCTACCCCCAAATGAAAACAAACCAGGAAGCGCCCACAGTACATAGTGTTAAATGGCTGCTCCAGGAAGTTGGTCCTGCTCACTGCAAATAGGTGTCACATAGCCTGCTGTGCAAGTGTCTCCCTGATCCATTCAAGCTGTTAATGGGTAATGCGCTCTGAAGGATTTGGAGAGTCCTCACCTCTGGTACGAGGTCAAATCTGTGCTTTCCAGTCTGAAAATGAAGAAAGTGAAGGAGAGAATGAACAAAACTTGCTGCTTGTGCTAGATCAGTGAAATGGGTGTCTTGCAATGTGTAGGAGAACAGTGTAGGCATAAAGAAGCCAGTTATTCACTTCAGATTGGCGAAATCTTGAAGATACGGAGTTTGTAGATTCTGAATGGAGGCTTTCTGCTTTGAAAATGTTTTCACAGTGTACATAAAATAAACTAAGATCTGATGGAGCCATTTAGCAGTGACATCTAACATGTTTCCCTCTTCTCTTACATTCTCTGTTTTGGATAGGTGTATTAAAAACACCTAGTCCAAGTAGAGATCCTAATGAGGTCCCTCGCCTGCCAGACCCCAACCTTGTTTTTCCTCCAACCCCGAGACGATGGAATGCACAGCAGGATCCCACACTGGAAAGACCCAAGACATTGGAGTTCCTGCCCCGGCCACGTCCTGCAGCCAGTCGGCAGCGGCTTGATCCCTGGTGGTTTGTGTCACCCAGCAATGCCAAGGGTGAATCTTCTGCCAACAGTTCAAGTACTGATACTCCAAGCAATCTGGACTCTTGTTTTGCTAGTAGCAGCAGCACTGTAGAAGAGAGACCTGGACTGCCTGCACTGCTTCCTTTCCAGGTGGGTGTTCCTGTAGAGGAGCGGACACTGTTGGACATAGATGCTGAGGGGCAGAGCCAGGACAGCACCATTCCACTATGCAGAAGTGAACTTAATACACACAAAGCTGCAGCATATGAACTCAAGCAAGAATTCTGGTCTTAATATGAAATCCACTGGGGACAGCGAGCCCCTCTAAATTCAATTCTACTTTTTGCACTGAGAATGCACTTTGAAGACAAATGAAATGGAGGGATGCTACAGAGATCATATGGTGCTGCCTCTGCTGAAGATGTGGTGTTCGACTGCCTGATTTTTGTCTGCAGTTGGATGTAACTTGGCAACTCAAAGCTGCTGACTTTTGCTGTGGGGTTTTTCTGTAGTCTTCCCTGTCCTCTTATTGCAGTTTGAATCTGCAATGAGCTAAAATTATCATATCAAAGTCTTTGTTACTGACCTTGTAGGATTTGGCACTTGCAGTAAGTATATTCGTATCTATCCTGGCATTAATCAGTATTTTCAAAACTCAAATATTACACTACAGCAGGCACCAGTGTTTGATGTTTTCCCAAGGAATCCAGGACAGAAACAAGTAAATATCTGGAGACTACCTTCTCTGAAATATATTCAGATCATTAGATAGGCCTGGGAATCATGATACCCCCACTGAAGGAGCAGAAGTAGCTATCTTAGAGTCACTTGTCCTCTTTTGCTCATGTCATAGTGCAAGGTGGAACAGATTGCAGAGGAAGGGCATGGCATCTCCACTGATGGAGGTCTCTGAGAACAAACAAGACTGTTGGGAACGAGTAGATGTGGTTGATCCTAGCTTCAAGGCATGGTGGATGGACTTCAATGATGTCTTGAAGTCTGTTGCAGCCCTATTTTTCTATGACCCTGTGCTTTCAAAAAGGTGAAGGCTTATAGTATGGCTGTTTACTCTAGCTTCCTTTTTTGTGTTTCAAACTTTGGTTCCATCAGCCTCCTTTTCCCACCCGCTATATCCCAGGCTCGTACTCAAACTGGCTGAGCTTTGGGAAGAGAATTAGCAGAAACTCTTTCTTTAAAGCCATGTTGGCTTGCAGAAGTAAGTTGTATGTCCCCTCACTCGCTTTTTTTTTTTTAACTTTCCTATTTTTCCTCCTTTCTTATGCTTTTTAGGAGTGGCCCTTGAAACCCAAGACTGTTCTTACGCACACTGATACTTGTTTAAGGCTCTTTTGGAATTGATGCTTGTGTGGTTAGTAGTTGGATTGTGCAAACAGGAATCAGAACATCTGGATTCTGTTTTACTTCATCACTGACTCACTGTGTGATCTTGGGCAAATAATGTAACCTCTGTGCCTGAATTTCCCCATCTGTAAATAGGGATAATACCTACCTCACAGGGGGAGGGGTTGGGCCATATATAATAGGTATAAAGTCCTTTGAGATCTTTGAGTGAAAGGCACTATAGACATGTAAAACCCTCTTGTTCAAATATGTAAAAACTCCTAACTCTGGAGCAAGAACAGACTCCTGTCTTGAAGGAGAAAGCCACACAAATAAGATGTGTGCCTATGCTTACAGTTTTCTGTACTGAGACTGCAAGTGTGCCTGTGCCTCTGCAGGTATATCTTGTTGGCTTTAATGAGAGCTTCACTCTTCCTCAGTTTTGGCATTACAAATAAGGGATGTGGCCTGTATATGGGTATAATGGGGTAGTCTGCTTTATTGCAGGGTACAACATGTCTGTTCACTCTTTTTGTACAGATCTGTGCTCATTTTGCTAATCTACTGACCATTTGAGTACAAGTAACTGGTGTGGCAGTGCTGGCAATGCAGTGCTCAGCCTATTAAGGAAGTCCAGTCCTGATGTGAAGGCAGTGTAGCCAAGTACTTTCTTGCAGCTGTCAGCACAGAGAACCCATGTGTTTAGAAGTTTGTAACCTGATGTTGAAACCCAGCATGTGTGAGGAAGTACTGTACTTCAGGGTTTTTTAATTCTGTTTGGGGACTAAAACCAGCATGTTACCATTAATCAAGTGCACCCCCTTTTCATGTAGAAAGATCACACGTTTCTTGTTTCATCACATTCCATGAAACGTGTTTAATGGCAGAATCACTTTTTGCTACCTTCCCCATTGAGTGCTCCAGAGCTAGCCTTAATGATGCTACACTAGCTGCTGAAGCTGGATAGACCGTTGACTGTAGGTGTTCTGGTGTTAGGCTAAGATACTTTAAAAAGAAAACTTATATTTCTGTTTTGTTAAATGTAGGTCTCTAGCATTACTGATTTCTTAAGCATTCATCCTTTTGCTTTTCATTTCTCAAAACTTAAGTTTGTGATCCAGAGACTAAAAAAAAAGGCAAGACTCACCCAAACAGATGGTTAATTTTTATTGTGCTATAGAAACAAACTCAAGGAAAGCCCAATTGGAGGCTGTGTTAGAGGGACTTAAAAGCAGGAGATAAAAACCATCTATTTTTCGTAGTCTCCCTTACCATTTTAAAAAGTCTGTAACAAAACTGCATCAGCTGTTCTGAAATGTAAGGTTTTCTATCCAAAAAGTATCATTTCAAATGTCATAGGAAGCATCATCTGCTCTGCAAAGACATCACCTGGAATAGCTCAGTTCAAACAGGAATCTTTAAAATCCATTTACTTGCATGTAATGGGTGGTTACCTTTCTAGGTTACATTTTTTAACTCAGCCCACTAAACTTTATGAAAAGCCAGTTGCTTTCACTAAGTGAACTGTAAAGTTTCTGTTGAGTTCCTAGCAGTCAAGACAGCTGTAAGGCCAAGTCACCTCTTTTGCTTAGGAAAGTTGAGGATGAAGTATCAAAACCCCTTCGCCCTCTCTTCCTTTTAGATAATCACTTGGTGAAGGTGATGTGTAACTAACCTGTTAGAACCATCTTGCTGTGAAGAGCATCTTCATTTGCTATAGCATTGTCCATTTGGTGTTAGGGAGCTGGGTAGGACAGATGGCAAGGAATCAAGGGTCCAGATCAGGGTTTCCAACCTAGAAATTCCCTATGTCAAAGCTGCCTTTGATACAATTATCTTCATTGAATCTAGCAGGTGAACTAAAATAAGGTAGTCCTTTGAGCATCAACCTGTAAGTCAGTCTTCTCAATGGGACTGTAACTAACCTGAGGTACCAGGCAAGAGGAGTCTGTTGTAGAAACAAAGCTATTGGCTTTAGCAGGTGGTGGAGTGTTCTCTGACGAGCAGAGGGGACACTCAAGGCAAAGAGTTGTCAGGTGTTTTACCTTACGCATACCAAAAGCTATTGCAACTGGTGTCCTGAGGTCCAGAGGCCATGTGCATGTTTAAGCTAGCTTGTAACCTCACATTGTATACATCTATCCCATCCTGGCCTGACTTCTGTCCTTTCTTAATCTGTTGGGTTTTTCCTTCCCAGTTGTAGAAGATGAGGTGCACCTAATCTCAGAAGCAGTGCTTCGCTGTAGTCCACTAGATACTGAAGATATGAGCCAGTCAGATCACAAATCTCTTTTTTCTACTGGTTGCTAGTATTCCCATTTGTCAGGGGAAAAAAAAATTCAGATGATGAAAATCTTGCTATTAAAAAATTCCAATAAGTGTATTGTTTCTTAAATATCTGAATAAGTTGCATGTGGTTTTTTTGCTGAGGAAATGAGAAAAAGATAACATGAGAGCACAAAATCACTGAGCAGTCTAAAACATAATGACAAAAGAATGGAGTAAAATGTGTTAAAGTAATTACAGGCCTCACAGAGGAAGTGACAAATTTTGTAACTGATAGTAGCAGTAGTAAGATTGTTGCTGAGAGAAATTTGTTAGGTCTGGAAATATATATGTCTTTTCTTTTAAACAATCATCTGACACTGTATCACTAATTTATGTAACTAATGTGCTGATTTAAGAAATACGAAAAAGTTTGCCAGCCCTATCTTTGTAGATTGTTTGTTTTTCCTGTAAAATTGAGGGGAAAGAGCAGACACAGCAACCAGTACAAAAAACTACATTTTTGTTGTTTATAAATGTTGACTGATTTCACAGAAGGTGAGTGTGGGACAGGTAGAGAGAAGAAAGCTTTTGTGTCAAAACTAAGATGATAATACTTACGGATTTTTTTCTAATACTGTTGCTTCCTATGGACTGCACAAAGCTCTGTTTTGCCATCAAGTAGGTCTTGTCTCCTTTCAGTCTTTTTCAGAAGTGCAAATGTAACTTTTTGTAGGTGGTTTTTTTTTTTTTCCTTCAGGTTATTATTGCCATGGGTTGATATTCAGTATGGGGCAGGGAACCTCAGTGAAAATATTCTTTTTGTAATGATTTTCTAACAAAATGAGTATTTTCAAAGTGAATTTTTCATTATTGATGTGGAAAGACCTTTTCTGGTTTGACATGCTTTTATGATGAAGTATTTTTCTGTACCTCTAGGAATGGGAGTAGTTGCCTTCCTCTTCGTAGCATGCTGTTATCATAAGACTTCATGGATAATACTGCATAGAGATGTTACTTTGATAATCGTGAAACCGGATACCTCTCATTCTCTTGAAGGTGAGGCAGTAATGGTCAAGTAAAGGTCTTTGCCATCTGGAGTGTTCTATTAAAAAGAAAACGACAGGAAACTTCCCAACTTGAGTCACATTTCTATCTTGAACCTAACTTCTATTTGAAACTGAATTCATCTCTGTAGGATGAATATGGGAGCTGGAGTCCCATTAGATGTATGGAACCAAACCTAATACTGTATCCCAAAATTCAGTGATAGCCTGAAACTTTTGTAAATAATTTTGAGCTAATATTAATGGTTTTGTTTTTTCTTTTTTTTTTTTTTTGAAACCTTTGTTTTTGGAAAAAATGCTATTGCTTTCTAACCTTTTCTATGCATTTTGGAAATATTCTCAAGAACTCTTAACCAACTCTGTGGCAAATAGGAGGCTTATATCTTGCACGGTGATATAAGTTCTCTTTTTGGCTTCACTTTTTTCTGCATGAAACAAGGAAGCCTATATTTGGAAATGAAAATTTCTGGTCCTTATCCTGTTGCTGCAGGGCAGTTGCTTTGCTTCCATAATTACAACTCACTTAAGGCCGTAATTTGAGTAAAACTGGATGTTAACAGTGGAGAGGATAGACGTGTTAAAACACGTGTTTGCAAATAAGCAATAAATACAGCATACATG